CTATCTATGGCCTAACAACGTCATCCTCAACGTAGAAACCTGTAGAGTCGTAAACTTTTTGAAGGCCATAGATAGGCCTAAATAAAATGTTTTTAATTGTGTACCAGTTTAACGTTGAATATTATTTATGATTTTAATATTGGTTAGTTTTTTTACTTTCATTAGAAGGTGTATTAAAATGTTTTGTTGCTGAAGTGAATTTCGATCTGGAACTTTTGGCAGGTTCTTTTGATTATATAGCTGATTCGAAGCTTGAAAGAATAGAGATGGAAAACTTGAAACCATATAATATATCTGTATGTATTATATGTTGTGTCGTTTCTTCCGTGGTCACTGTGCATACCTATTTCTGTGGAGGATATTGGTATTTCTCGTATACTTAACTTCTTTGGATATGTATTTCTTGTCACACATATTGATGATTCTTTTGATCACGTCAAGAGGTCATTTGATCTAAAACACCAGTAACTAAGTAAAAAAAGACCCGGCATGGCCAGATGGTAAGAGCGTTCGACTCGCAATCTGCGGGTCGCGGATTCGAATCCCCGTCCCACCAAACATGCTTGCCCTTTCAGCCGTGGAGGCGTTATAATGCGACGGTCAATCCTACTATTCGTTCGTAAAAGAGTAGCCCAGGAATTGGCGGTGAGTGGTGATGACTAGCTGCCTTCCCTCTAGTCTTGCACTGCTAAATTAGGGACGGCTAGCGCAGATAGCCCTCGTGTAGCTTTGCGCGAAATCCATAACAAACGAGGAGAAATAAGTATTTTATAACAAGTACCGGAAATTCAAAATTGAAATAAGAAAAATAGTATTATGATAAATAATAAATTGATAAAATTCAGATAAAAGTATTAAATTAAACAAATAAGCAAAACTAGGAAAACTAAAATTGGCATACTACATAGATCATAAAAAACATGATAGTTGTTACTGTCATCTTAGTACAAGGCTACACAATTTACTATCTGCACTCTTTTCACCGCGGATAATCGAATCTAGGATTTTAGCGTTATAAGCCTGTAAACTTAAAGAATTTACTTATTCTTTTTACGTGTATTTTTCGTTTAGTATATTTAGAAAGAAAATTAGTTTTATTAATTTTTTGTTTTTGTTTAATACTATTCTGCTCAAAACTCATCTCTCATTCAATACAGTAAAAGCAAATTTTTAATTTAAACATTTTATTTGATATAAAATGGTGCCTAGGTAGCTAATCTCAAAGCTGGTTTTGTATTCTTTGTAGAATAGTTAAAATGTGTATCAAAATGTTTAATCAAGAAGTACAGCCCACTGATGGCTCAGTGGCTAGTTTGAGAGCTTATAATGCTAAAATTCTGGTTTTGTGCTTAAAAACAAACAAACAAGAAGTACAGGCATATGAAATAATATATCTTATAAAAAAGCTATTAATTGTAATTATGGATTTACCGTGCTACGTCAGTTTTGTTTGAATGTAATTTTCTTAAACATGTTAACGTTGGCCAAATAATTCATATATTCTTGCTAATTGAAATTTCAATCACATATTATGCCTGCATGTTTGAAAAGAATATCTGTCTTGTGACGTTTTTATGTATAGGCAGGATTCTTTACATTAGGTGTCTGTGACTTGTTGGCGATAAATTTCAACAATAAACAAACAGCAAATAGTCCAGTTGTCTTAAAATAATATATTAAAACAAGTCAACTGTATATAGAAATGTTCGTTACACTGTTGGTTATCACAATTGTGTCCAAATTAGTTGTCTGTTTCTCGTCAAATTCCAGTTACTTTAGAACACAGTTTGACAAGACGAATTATTCTTCTTCCTATGTTATTACAATGCAGTCCGAGACAATTTCATTTTAAAATCACAACTATAAATGTTGGTTACCACTGTTGT